GGCCGCGTGGACATCATCGGCGTGTTGAGAGCCGGCTCAGGGGTGGACCCGCTGGACGTCCGGCCCCATCCATCTTGGTTATACGTCTTCTCCTCCAGGTGGAAGCCCTCACCCGGCAGCCCCGCGCCACCACGGTGCACGCGGTCCGGGACACGGAGCTGGCCAAGCTTCCTGAGGGCACCTTGAACAACATCAAGCGCAGATACCCCCAGGTAGCCCCAGATCTCCATCCTGGGGGCTGCACCCTCTTCCCATGGAAGGGACGTGTCCCCATGTCCCCCCAACCCCGGGCTGGTAGCTCTCTGTCTCCGAGGTCTCCAAGGATGGGTGGTGGTGGTGGTGGTGGCACCCAGAAGGGCGTGTGGGGCACTGGTCTGGGGTGGTAATGGGCCTCCAGCTTGGGAAGGCCAAGGTCTGGTGGCCATCACCATCCTTGTCCCTGCAGGTTGTCACCCGCCTCATCCACCTCCTGAGCCAAAAGATCTTGGGGAACCTTCAGCAGCTCCGTGGCCCCTTTGCAAGTAGGTCCCGAAGGGGTTGGGGACAACGCGGTGCCCTCTCCGAGGCTGGTGGCCATCATCAGAGCAGCACGTGGAAGATGCCAACCACCCCATCGTGGTGTCCCTCCACTGCCACCACGTCTCTCTGTCCGTGCAGGCTCCAGCTTGGGCATGGCCTCCAGCTCGGAGCCCACCAACCCCACCAGCAACCTGTCGACGGTGGCGGTGCTGCCGGTGTGCGATGACGTGCCCACGGCTGCCTTCACGCTGGAGCTCAAGCACGCGCTCAACGCCATCGGTGAGTGCCAGCGCCGTGGTGACCATGGCACGGTGGCGGCCGTGGTGTGGAGGTGACCATGGTCCTGTGGTGCACCAGTGGCCTGGTGTGGCAGTGGCTGTGGCGTGGAGGTGGCCACAGTCTTGTGGCATGGTGGGCACCATGGCCTGGTGACCATCACAGCCCCATGGCATGATGGTGACCATAGCGTGATGGTGACCACAGTCCCATGACACGGTGGCAACTATGGCATGGTGACCCCAGGCCCAAAGCATGGTGGTGACCACAGCATAGTGGTGACCATAACATGGAGGAGGTCATGGTCTTGTGGCGTGGTGGGTGCCATGGCCTGGTGACCATCACAGCCCCATGGCATGATGGTGACCACAACATGGTGGTCACCGTGGTCCCACGGAATGGTGGCAACCATGGCGTGGTGACCATCACAGCCCCATGTCATGGTAGTGACCACAGACCTATGGCGTGGTGGCAACCATGGCATGGTGACCATCACAGCCCCATGGCATGATGGTGACCACAACATGGTGGTCACCGTGGTCCCACGGAATGGTGGCAACCATGGCGTGGTGACCATCACAGCCCCATGTCATGGTAGTGACCACAGACCTATGGCGTGGTGGCAACCATGGCATGGTGACCATCACAGCCCCATGGCATGATGGTGACTGCAACATGGTGGCGACCACGGTCCCATGGCATAGTAGTAACC